CACACGCACACTAGGGTCGTCACAGTATGTGTTTTTGCATATAAGCAACAACGCATAAAAACTAAAAACAGTCCATCAAGTGTCCGAAGCTAAGCTTGGCTAAGAGCACAACGATATAATCAGAATTTTTCTGCCCGAGCATGCTCAGTTCAAGGTTTTGAATAAATCAGTAAAGCAGTTCTGAATCGGTAGAAACACCTATGCTTTGCCCAGATACAATTTCACAGTGTAGCTGACAATTTTGCTCACTGTTTGGCCAGTACTGTATCGCCTACTAATTAGTTTGCTGGTGATCCGTTTTGTCTCATGAAAGTGCCGCGGTTTTTCGACAGAAGCATTTAGCAGGGCTTCGGCAGTTCTGAGACTCTTTGTGCATGTTGGCCATGCACAGAAATCTATTCTAGCGTAAGCAATAACTGGGCAACTCCACAAAAGTTTTTGCAATTTATGTGTATGCATAAAATAACGGATATAATTTGCAGAAATGGACAGTAGCTATGTTTGCGGCGCTGAGGGTGCATTAGCGCCAGCGGGCGCACTCCTCGGCTTGGACGCCTCAGCCAGAGGTCAGCAGGAGCAGCAGCAACAGAAGCAGGCCTCTGCCGATGCATTGTACCTGAGTATGCAGTCGGGCATGCCCATCCAGAACAGTACCGTTCACAATCCACAGTTCCTCTGAGATGCACATTCCCTGTAGAGCAGAAGTAGTATTTTCTCAGTTCCAGTTCGTACCTGTCTGAGTCCTTTGCACTGTCCTAAACACGTATGCCTGTGATTTTTCCATGTTAAATGCTTAAGTTTGGTATGCTAGTTCGCATTGCTCATCGATTCGAGCGTTATTTTGCGTGGTATTGAATGCTACTATTTCCCGGAAATAGTAATTCCTGGGCTCATAATATCCTGGCTTATAAAGACTAATAATTTCTGGGCTAGTGGCTAAATACTGTAATTTTATGGACTTGAGTGAAATTTTTGCACTTTTTTCAATGTAACTGTAAAAGTTTCAAGAAATAGTAGGAAGTACTAATAATACCAATGCCGACTGAACAAAGAGTCTGACTCTTTCTTATCAGTGAAATTACTAAGATGCGGGCGCGATACTGGGTCAGAAATTTCGATTCCGAGCTACATACCTCCAAATCAGAACGATAAAGTCAGATAAATTTGCAGAAAAAAACATAAAGCGCACACTCAAAAACGTGAAACTTAAATTTACTTTCTAAGAAAAGAATTTCGCGGAAATATTTGGTGAAACGTTAACGTTTCGAGCAGGATCGTGCTAATTTCTGAGCGATGCTTTTCGTAAAATCACATGTTAAATTCTTCAATCAGTATTTCGTCGGAATTCGCTACATAATTCAGTGAAGTCACGATTTTCGAACTTTTCCAAAAAAATTTTTTTTGATATTTTATCCAGTAAATCTTGTGTTTAATTCCTCTACTACTCAATTATTTATTTTGTTACTCAGTTTGTGATCTCGTATTCTTCTGGTTATTTTCGGTACTTGATTTATGATCTCTTGTTCAATTTTCTGATTTCTTTGAGCACTACGATGCTTGTTCATCTCGACCACAGGAACTATGGAAAGATTGCCAGCAGCGTTAAATCAATAATACTTTGTGTACAGAAAATCGCGCAATCTGTCCTTGGTGTAATTTTGGATTGCTTGGTGCTATTTGAATGATTGCAGTAGTTGGAATGTAATAAAAAGCTTGCAGCTTGCAAATATGTTGTGTGTAGGATCTCAAATGAGTTGATATATGACAGTGGTAACGACAAAAGGACTTCAAAATTCCACACCAAAAATGCCGAGACCGTCTGGTCGTCAATGTGGGTATTTCATGTCAGTGATACTACTGAAATGCCCTCACATGTGGGGCATTTCGATCAAAATTCTACAGTAAATCGAAATTCTGTCTATTTGACTCGCTA